TCCAAACTGTCAATCTTGGAGTACTCATTTCTAATGATCTAGGTGCTAGAGCCCACTGTAACTACATAGCCAAAAAGGCATTAAGAATTGTTAATGTAGCTTTTTCTCTGGTAATATTACACTACTAACTAGAGCATACAAAACATTTGCTAGACCTATACTTGAATATAGCTCATCAATCTGGAACCCACATTATGTATCTGATATTAACACAGTTGAGAAAGTCCAGAAATATTTCACAAGAAGAGTTCTCCACTCCTCTACTTGTTGCAGAATACCTTACGCCACCCGACTTGAAATTCTACACTGAGAAAACCTAGAACTACGCCACTTTCAGTCTGATCTAAGAATAGTATATAAAATCATACATTGTAATGTCCTATCTGTCAATGAATACTTCAGCTTCAGCCATAACAATACAAGAGCAAACAGTAGACAAACTCAAGGTTAACCGCACCAAACTTGATTGCAGGGAATACAACTTCAGCAACAGAGTGGTCAATGTCTGGAATACTCTACCTGACTCTGTGGTTTCTTCCCCAAACCCCAAAAACTTTAACCTTAGACTTTCTACTATTGACTTCACCCCTTTCCTAAGAGGTCTGTAGGGGGCATGTATAAGCGCACCAACATGCCTACCACCCCTGTCCTACTGTTGCTTTCTTTTTTTAAATTTTTTTCTTATATGTATCCATGTATTCATAACCATGATTTTACTTATACCTATTATCTTGTAAGCAATTGACAAACCAAATAAAATAATAAAAAAAAGAATAAGTAAATATTTACTATCCTTGCAAAGATGCAGTTTGTATGTGGTGGAGCTGCCCATTTCACTTCAAAACAGTCACTATAAATAACAAGACAAACTTTATAGTAGGTACCATGTACCATTATTATGATACATGTGTGCAAACAAAAACATTCTTGCTTAGAAATATGAAGGTGACTAAATATGGATTAGCTAATGGTTTTGTGCTGTTTGAAATCCCGTAGGTGAAACTGATTATATAAGATTGCTTGTATGTGTTATTGGGGTCTTTCATTAATTAGCATATCCATGCCTATCTATCCAAGACGCTGCAGACTCTCAATAAGAATAAGTTTTCAAAAAATTTTCATCTGTGTCCTGACAGAGCAGAGGAAGAAACCCAAACCAGATGACAAAAGGGAGAAGAGCACTGCAGCACTTTTTCTCAGCACTTTTTCTCAGGATATTTCTCCAATAATATCAAAATAATCAAAGTTTTGAGCAAAATGTCTCCAATTTTGGGCAAAATGTCTCCAACTCCAATTGGTTATATGTTTTAATCTATAGCTTGTAAATTGCCTATAGCTGCAAAATGAGAATATATGGCACATATATTTTTAAAGAGTTTTTATAAAACAAACATCAGAGGATGATCACTTTAAATAATGTCTCTGAATAAATTTTAATAAATTTTAAATTTCCCCGGATTGAAGTAGGATATTTTCACATCTGACTATCCTGAATGCCTTTGGTGTATGAAATCTGGAGGTACTAATACAACCAAATTGCAAAATATGTGGTCCTTAAAACATTAGGTCTGTGTTCAACTGCATTGGATTAACTATTGAATATGCATTTTATATGCTTATTTCAATTTTTACAGATATATTTCATCCATACTATAGAGTTGTATTCACAATGTAAAAGTTATACATATTATCATTAAAACTTTTTTGCTTATACAATTCTAAAATGAATATATGCAAATTCATACATACTTGAATAATGCATCCAGATAATAATGATTGAAATTAAAGTAAAAGAAAAACCAGCAAATGAGATGAATTTCACCACAAATAATAAAATATTTATATAGGTTGCAATTTAGATGTGACAAATAAAACAAGAAATAATATTATTCCTAGGTTTATCAACATCCTCTATCTGACCACCAAAGAAAACAACTGGAAACACTAGTAATTGTTTTAATAGTAGTAGTTGTAAGTTATCTATAAATATGATTTATTTGTAAGATTTATATACCACTTCAATCTATTTTTATTGATAGAAATGGTAGTCCAAAGTAATATATCTTTCTTTCATTCATTTTTTAAAATGTTACTATGTATCTAATGAAAAAGACACACTATAGTGTTTTTAAATTTAAAAAGAATGATAATTATAAGAATAATTATATTTCATTTCAGGTTACTGATATACCATAAAACATTAATTGATAAACAGATGGAGATTTTAATTTTATTTTGTTACTGGGAGCCTAACTCCTACAGATTTATTCCTCATGCACCATAATTATAAAAACAAAAAGGAAAGAATATGAAGCAAGCATCATAAGCTTTCAGGTTTTGGTTTCTTTTGAATAAAAATTGGGCTGACTGTATTCAGGTTTCAGTGGAAATATGAGTTGCACAATACAAGGAATGCAATTTTTTTTAAAAAAAACCACCCCAAACCCTTATCTCCAATTTGCCTGACTGAAAAGATCCTCTGAATTCCAGTAATGTACATTTAACACACTGATCATTCTGTACATCTACACTGCCAAGCTCTGTAATTCATCTAAATTATGTGAACCCCTGATTCATGCAAGGCAAGTGAATATGGCCCTAAAGGTACTTTCTGTCATTGTTTCAATTACAGAGCTATGTGGGTAACAGGCTTGGATTTGACAGCAACTGAAGAAAGAGGATATTATATGCATGCCTTCAATCAGCTTTGTATTTGATCCTTAAAGGGAAAATTATGTGAGAGACAGGGGAGGAAAACAACAAACTAAGCAAGATCCCAATTTCAATATAATTTGGAGAAAATAACTGATTTGGGTTGGACATTTTGCCAAAATGGATGACTCAAGGCTTCCAAACAAGAAATGGAAACCAGAAGGATGCCTAAAGCCTTAAAGAAGAACAAATTGGGAAGATATGATTGACTGTAATGTTTCAAAATCAACTATAGCAAAGACGAATTTGGGTGGTTGCCCAGAATACAATTGAATGGTGATGTTCATTTAGATGCTTAATGTTGAAACAAAATAATGTGTTTTAACTGAGCTTCACTTTAGCATGTAACTGTTAACTCTTTCAAATTCAAAAATATGGTCTTGGGGGCTGGAATTGTGCTCGTCCTAGGGTAGCAACAAAAGCATAAAAACAGTCTAAACAAAGACAGAACAGGCAGAAAAAAAAGTATTAAGTATAGTATAAAACAGAAAACATTTCAGGTTTGTAAAAACCCTTAGAACCGTCTGTGTATCAATCATCAGTCATCAGCAGAACACCTGATTAAATCTAACTCCCACAACTATAAAAGTAATGAGGTATCTGTTGTAAAGTTAAGGATATATTTTCATTAACACTTGGGTAGCAGACCTACCTGCATTTTTAAAATTCTCAGTAGCCATTTCCTTCACTCTGAGACTATAAAATAACTACCCCTGACATCTGGATGCATTTTCTTTATGTACTATTTATAATTTCTATATACAGTGAGTTTATCTGTCCTTTGGGACACACTGGCTGTCTTTAAATTAAGCCATTCTCAGTGCAACAGTGGCACACAATGCATGCATATCTGAAGTGAAAACTAGGTCATATATGTGTCAGGCAGGCTTCTGTCTATTGCTGAAAGTCATGTGAAAATTACAAAATATTAGAAGCTTTAACAGAAAAATAATAGTGTGGTAGCTGTAACTGATAACATGGAAAGCATAGAAAAGACACAGTTCCAGTATAAAGCAAGGTCCATCCTCAGTTTGAATACAGAACCCAAAAATACTTGAGAGGAGAGAAATGTCTTTCTCTGGCATTGAACCATAATTCAAACTGGGCATCAGTCATGTTTCTCTGGGAAGGGTATTCCATAAGCCAACTAGAAGCTCTGCCAACTAGAAGCTCCCGTTCATTGCTCCCTGGCAAAGGCAGACCAAAATATTCACCCAAGTACTTAATGGGAAGAGGCATCTCTAAATATACCAGCTGTCCAGAGCTTTAGAAATCAATAGCGCACCTTGGAAATGGATTGGCAACAATTGCAGCTACCGACACCTTGGTATGATTTTTGTTCATTCTTAATCCTGCCTCTTGAAAATCGTCTAAGGTTGGATAGGAGCTGTAGGAGGAAAGGAGGGAAAGGGCGGTACAGGGCATATTTCTTTCCTCTGTATGAGCCACCCCGCAGAATTTGCTATAGACTGCCTTGTAATAAAGCAAGCACTGAGATGCATTTGTTGTGTCTTAGAAAGCAGCACTGCTTTTTAGAATCTGCTTTCACTAAAGGAAATCCAGTTATAAAATGGTAACAAAGGGCCACAGGAGGACACTATAATGCTATTCAGAATCAACACAAAAACTCAGATTCAGTTGACTTGACATAAGTAATTGAACTGGACTGGTTTAAGGAAAATATGCTCAAATCTAATAATAAAATTAAATTGCCAAGTAGTCAGCTTGCACATTGAATCACATTTCCAAAGAGCCAAACTGTGTTCTCCATGCCTTCTTTTCACTTTTTGTAATCATTTTCCTTTATTAAAAATGATGTTGCCAGCCTGAAGCCTGACTACTTAAAGAGTCAACAGTAAATAAATCTTTCCTACCCTCCACCTTGTTTTCTCTTTCGCAGAAAAAGTTGCTTCCTATTTACAAAAAAAAAAAAGTAATCTAATCTGCACAGGTTCTATGGGTTGCACTTGTGTTTTGTTGCAATTATGCTTCTTGTTCCAGTGTAAACTAAAATTTGGACTTCAGTCCTCAAATGTATTCCAGTTTAATCCTGTTGAAGTCAGTGGTATTATCTCAGGAGAAGTAATTTTAGGACTGCAGCAATAGTTACACAATATGTACAAAACCAGAACTCAATTGTTGACAATAAGGGCTGTTCTGAATAATTAAGAAAGCCTTGAGATTAGTTGTTTTATTCTGAAATGAAAACAGAATTACCACTTGGCTAATGTTCATACATACCTGGGTATTTTTTTAATGTTCTTTTTTTGTCTTTCTTTATTCAATAGCTTGTTTGGTTTCTACAAAGGTATCCTCCCTCCAATCTTGGCTGAAACACCCAAAAGAGCAGTAAAGGTAAGTCCATCTCCATCCTCCACAAAGTGAAAAACTACCACACTGGGATTACTATGGGATCCTTGGTACTCTCTCTGTGTGGTTGCTTAGTTGCAGACGTTTCATTATCCAACTAGGTACCATCGTTAGTGTTCCACAGTTCAACCCTGAGCTGCAAATATTCTCTTCTAACTGGGATTACTATAAGTAAGAAAGCCATTTTACTTCCCTTCCACAATATCTGACCAGAGGACATTAGGAGGGAGTGGAGAAGCCTCTCCAGCTGTGGATGCAGAGGAACTGTACCGCTGCTAACTAGCAGGCAGGTCTCCCTACATTGTCTCAGGGAAGCTTTGCATCTTAAATTTATTGCATGGGCTCCCAAGATGCTTTTCTTGATTGGGATAGGTAACTGCAAGGTGTTCATAAGACATGGTCAAAATAGTCAGTGATAACCACTAATTCTTCTGTTTCTGGCATGGACATTTTCAGTGATTTGTCACTTAAACAGAAAGCAGAGATTCCACAGCAAATTAAGGGAAGTGTTGAATCCATTGAAAACAAAGCCCTTCCATTTCCATAGCTAGAATAAGAATAAAATGAAGTCAGCCCTGAAACTGGCCGCCTCCTCTTGCCTCCAGCATGACCCCCCACAGTTTCTGCCCAGTTTATTCATTTATTTTAGAAAACATTTAGGACTTGCTTTCTCTCTGCTTATACGGAATCATACTTAGGCAATATATAAATGATACAATCCAGATTATTTTTTTAAAAAATAAATAAACAGCGCATCAGGGAAGTGTTACACTGGGGCTAGATAAATGCAAGGCTGTGTCCACAAATATTGGAACCTGTTGGAAAATAAATGAAGAGTTAAGCAACTTTCAATGGAGCTTCGCAGCAAACTGCAATGGTGTTGATTGTCTTTGTTTAGAGTTCTGCCTTTCCATTTCAATTCTTCCTCTTTTTTTTCTCCTCTGCATTTCTTTTAGGTTTTTTTTCTTCCTGTGAGTTAGCATTTTGTACATATGAAGTCATAACTGGAGTATTTTTTTCAGAAGGTTTCCATTTTGCTTTTGAGGGGTGGAAATACATTATTGTAGATACATTATAAGATACATTATTGTAAATCTTCAAGCTAGTTTATCTTTCTTCCTTGGGGGAAAAATACTATTAGGAAAAGCACTATCCAAAAGGAACACCAAACATTTTCTCCTCATATTTAACTCAGAGCTAGACTACAGTATTGAGTAGTTTAACGCTGAATTAACACTTTATGCCATTGATTAGCTATAATAACATTCATCCCCCTTAAGACTTTCCCTTTATGTTAGAGGCAGCTACAAATGTTGCAAGTCTTTTGAGGTCTTCCTGATGGTGCCCTTTCGATGATGGCTCTGTAAACACGAGAAGATTTGAACTAGAAATATAAGAGATTATGATGCCTTTAATAATGTACACTAAACTGCTTAAACCACTTTAAAAGTTATAGAAAGCTGAGTGTCTTGCAGATGTCACACTATGTTATTGACAGTAGCAGCATGATTTTACCTCTTAGAAGAGATGGAACTCAATACCTGGAAGCTTCATTACATTTCCAGTACAACTGTTGTTGTCGTTTTGCTATGCATAGTTTGAAAAAAGAAAAAGAAAACAATGTGGAATGCTTGCTTTGGATAATTTGCATGCATGTGTGCACAAACATCTCACACATTGACAAATAAAATATGCTTACAAATAAAATATTCTTACACAGCAACTCGCACATTAAGCTGATACAAACATTTTGTTAAATATGGACTTCAATTATTGTAGATTTTAGAAAGAAACTTGCTCTGGAAAAATATTTTCATAGTTTTTTTTCAGTGTCAAATAGTGGCTTGATCATTGGGAAATTTTAGATAGTTCTATTTTATTAGAAGTTAGTTATTCATGGAAATGAAAGTCAGGATTTTCTGATCATAGAATTTCACATTTGCAGGCTCGGGGAGCGTAGCAGATATTCCTTGGAATCGCTTCCACATTTGATACTGTAATTTAAGTTCTATTGTGGTAATTTTGCACAGCTGCATCTCTACCTGCCATTTTCATCTTGGTTACTTTCAGAGAAAAGCTGCCTTGAATTATAGAACTGCTGGGCTGATAAAAGATCATTCAGATAAACAAACAAGGCTGAGTTCCTGTTGAGAAGAAAAATATAATTGTCTATTCCTTTCGTAAATCCATTTGCATGTAAAAATAAAGCCATTATAATTAAGGTAGTATGTCACTTGGACGCCATGTGTCAAAGACAATTTCATTTTGAAGAGTTCAGATCCTTTCTCAATGTGTTTGTGCCTCTTTCTCTCTTTCTTCCTTCACCCTCCTCAAAGAAAGCTGGTAACTCTGAAGGATGAAAAGCCAAACTTTATAGCCCAGATTTAGTCTGGACTTGAAGAAAAGACATGAAGAGTGCCAGTACAATGCTTAACAGATGATCTTGTTGGGCAAATACATCTTTTGCATCTGTTCCCAGACTTTTTTATATTAAGGTTATTGGGACATATGGTAAATACCGGATTTCCCCCGCACCCCTACCCCCACGGAACTTAAGATTTATAAGTGTCTTTGCCAGATGAACAGCATCTTTCTTTGAATTTTGTGATGAAAGCATTTTTTTAACTTAATGGAACTTTTAGAATTCTTAAGCAATAAAAATATTTAGAGATGTTCAATAAAGTAAACCATAGTAAGCCATGCAAGGAAAAATTACTAGGGTTTGTTTGTTTGTTTGTTTTGGGGATTTTTGGACAAATTAAATTTGCACTCGGTTGTTTTCTGCAGCTCAACTGGATATTTGCTTTGGTTTTGTTCAGCTACAGAAATGTAATAAAAACCAAAATGTCTACATAACTTATTTTTATATGCATTTGGAAAAAAACTGATATTTTGAATGCAAATTTTTAATAAAAATATAATGGAAACATGAGAAATATAAAGATTCCGTGAAATGTATTTCATGAAAATATAAGTGATTTCTTGTGCCAAGGACTTATAGTTATGCTTTCTTAATTTTTACAAACTTTCTCATCAACCAATTAATTTTTGCAGGGTTTTTTTTCAAATCCCTTCAACTATTTACTTTTCCTGTATAACGAAACAAATTTTACACCCACTTTCACAGGAATAAGACCCACTGGACTTCAGTGGGTTCTTTCAAAATAAACTAGGAAAGTGGGTGAGCAAATATATTATTGAGGTTTCTAGACTTCATACACTACAATTAAATTAATTAATAGTAATAAATCAATTAGTTGTGATGCACAATGCTTGTAAGATTGTTTTAATACTGGTGAAAAATGCTGTGGAGCATTTTCTTAATACCTGTATTGTATCTCATTCTATAAATATTTTAAAATTTAATTAATGTATTTATTTATTTAGCACAAGAAGTTGCTTGAGCTTCAGACATTTCTGGTTTGTTCATTGAAGTATCAATATTGTTATGAGGCTTCTGAACAAAATAAAATAATTTGCATTCCTCTACAAATGAATTGTTATAACTGTTATAGCAAATTGAAATAAATAAAAATACACCCCAGGTGTTCTTCTCAATAACTTGTTGGTTGGTTACCTCTCTCTTCCCTATGCCTTATTTTCTTTGTCCTTAAATTTTAAAAATATTGGCTAGCAAGCAAATCTTTATCTGGATCTGTGCTGTGGGTTTACATATAAAGTGCTAACTCTGGAGCCAGGCTGCCGGTATGCACTTTATAGAGACATCAAATAGATAGCATTTGGAAAAGATCTGGGATTTATTTTTATGATTAGTAGTTTTTTTATGATTAGTCTGAAATTCAGTGGGAAGGCAAACAGGTATAATATGTGCAATACTAATGTAGCAGTAGCCATCTCAAACCTGGAAGTCTTGGCTACAAATAGGTGAAGAGAGTAACTCAAGGGTGTCAAACTCATGGCCCATGGGCCAAATGCATCATGCACTGGCCATGCCCACCCCCATTTTAGCGAAGGGGGAAAAGTTGCAATACATCACATGATGACGTGTCATCACGAGTTTGACACGCCTGGAGTAAGTAATTTAAAACAAATCAGCAATTAAGAATCAGTGCAAGATAAATATTCCTGCTATGTCCAGTTTTTGCCACTTTTCCCTTCTTTTCCATCCCATTCTTTGAAAGACTTAGGGTCTACCCTATTATAGATAAACAGGAAAAGAACGTTGCATTGTATGATTAGCTTTAACTTCCTATACCTCTAATCCAGTACATTTTATTTCATTTTAAAAACCAATTGTGTTACTGTCAAATTAAAATTTGGTATTCTGCTTGATACCAGAATATCCTTGTATAAAAATCTAGAATGATTTTGAATTGTATTACTTGCTACAGCAGTGATTATATGATAGAATTAATTTTACTATCAACAGATTTTGCTGGTATATTTTTGTTCATACTAAACAGTAAAAATAAAGGAAAAAGTCATGTTATATTCACTAACTGGAATAAACAGAAAAGATTTCCATACCTTAGTAAAAGGAATATTGTTTTTGGAATAAGAAACTAAACACATGAGAGAAGATATGATGAAAGGAGTATAAAGTTTCAAGAGGACAATGCTGAGATGTGAAACTACTATAAATTTGACTGGATTATACAGTTGTACAATACCTCTCTCTCTCTCTCTCCCCCTCTCCCCTTCTCCCCCTCTCCCTCTCCCTCTCTCTTCCTCTGTCTCTCTCTCTCTCCCTCCCTCCTTCCCTCCCTCCTTCCCTCTCTCCTGTATCTTTCCAATAAATGTTTTAAATGATCTGAGAACAACATTTGTTTGATTCAGTTTAACCAAAACCATGTGTGCAACACTAATCATTCAACAATGTACAACCAAATCAAATCATTCTTTGTCTTTTCTTAGTCTAATAAAGGTAAACAGCTTTCTGTGATAAAAATCTCTATTCTTAAGTTTTACATTTCTCCTTATTTATTTTTCAGTTCTTCACCTTTGAACAGTACAAAAAAATACTTGGAAATGTTTCTCTATCACCAGCTTTGGTAAGTGTTAGTTTGCCATTCAGAATATATAAATGCATTTACTATAATGCATTACATAGTACGGTATGTTGTCTTCAGATTAGGTAAGACAGTGGAGATAGGAAGAAAGTCAGAGTTAAACTGGATGGGATACCAATGCTCTGGATACTAATAACGAATTATTTTATTCATATATAAACAGATTTCTTTGTGCATGTGTATGACTCTAGCAGGCAGAGCTTGCATTGCAAAGATGCAATGCTTTTTTGTGTCATTTTGATAGACACTTCCAATCCTTCCTATGCCCTGGCAATGAAAAAAGAGCAGATATTTTCTCTGTTGGCAGCGCCTTCAGTTTTGGGAGGAGACTTTTAAGATGGCTTCCAGTTGTAGAGGAACCTCTAAAACATTATATACTGTACAGATGGACCTTTGCTCTTGCTAGCCTGGATTTCAGTATAATTATTTATGTGAACAAGAAAGATAAACCACAGTGCGTGGGAAACATGCAGCCTCCTGCATCTCCAAAACCTCCTGAAATTATTCTGCTGAAATTTTGCAGAAAAGTTCAAATGAAGAAGAAAAGGAGGGAGGAAGAGAAGAGAAAGGAAAGGAAAGAAGGAAAGGAAAGGAAAGGAAAGGAAAGGAAAGGAAAGGAAAGGAAAGGAAAGGAAAGGAAAGGAAAGGAAAGGAAAGGAAAGGAAAGGTAATCAAGCCACAGCTATTCTGGTAATCCTGCTTTAAAATGTCATGAAATTATTCCTTTCTCTCTGTTAACCTTGCTTGGGCAATGGGAGTAAATCTGCTTTAAGATTTTTAGTATGAATGTTAAGAAATTCTAGGAAGTTGACTGCCCAGCCATCAATCCATATTAATGACTTAAATTGTTAGCAAAATGCAATTGGAAGGGACAATTAATAAATCCTGATCATCTGGAAAATAATTTTTAGTTGAGTTTTTGGCTCTTTAAGTGGAAATTTTGTGACAAGCTTAAGAAGCATGTCATATACCTGCCTATCATATAAACTGGAAAACTATTAAAATGTACATTAACAGGCAATAGAAATGAAGGTTTTTACAAAATGGGCATGATCCCTTTTTTAAACATATTGTGTTTAACTACCATATTACTATTACATCACTGTAATTGTCTCCAACTCATGAAAGATCTCCTCGCATGCTCCTTTTATTGGACTTCCATATTTTCCAAAGAACGCAAAGTAAATTATTAAAGATTCTGCATATCTTTTTAACAGAGAAAATGGTAATTCATCTTGCAGATGTATGTACTAGGATAAAATTTTCAGTATACTCTGAATAAATAATACAGGGGGTCATTAAATTTAATAGAGTATAACACATTTATAAAGCCATAGCAGAAGGAAATAGCAAGAGGTGTTCTGTATGAAGAGTCTGGAAGAAAATAAAAGATATACGTCCACGTCAGGGGGAATCTCTACAAATAGCTTGATTGCTAACCAGAGTAAAGAAGGGATATATGGCGTGTAATACCCATCAGTGAATGGTTTCAGTACAACAGACAGTTACTGGATTAAGAATGCTTAATGCAAGGCATGTTCAACCTTTAATCCACATGCTGGATTTTCATATCTGAATGATCAGATTGCACAGAGAGTTCCAAAACCACTGCAGCATAAGCTTGGCCAATTTGCAATTATCATGTCTTATAAATTGGCTATGATACTGTAACTGGGCAAAGGAAAAGTACACTTGTTTGGGTTCTGGGAAGCATGGAAAATTGAAAAATATACTATTGTCAATGTAAATGACATCATCATTTTCAACAGCACTTGGCAAGAACATCTAGCACACCTGCATAAAGTATTTAAGTGTTTGCAAAGAAGATAACTGACTGTAGCAGGGCCCAACTTCTCATGAGCCCAACTGAAAATAAGATATCGCAATTTGAAAGTAGCTCAAGGAATCTTTAGAACACAAACTGACAAGATGGAAGCCATTCACAAATCAGTTCAACCCAAAAACAAAACAATAGTCTGAAAGGATAAGTTCCTTGGCCCAAGGAACTTGAGAAAATATTTCAAATTTTTAAATTAACTGTGGGACTCCAATGTTCAACAAGTTGAATTTTTCTCATGGGTGTCAACTTGATGTGCCTGAAGTAACCATTAAAAGAACACCTCAGGAAAAAAAGACCTCATTCCATACTTTAGAGGAGAACTAATTCTGCACATGGTATAATATTTAGCCAAACACCAAGCATGTTATTTTCATCAAATAGTCCTCAAAATTCTTCCTTCTGATGTATTCACCAATTACCATTCTTTTTTTAAAAAAAACAATTTTATTGATTTTCAAAGACAATACACAAACAAACAAAACATAAAACATAAAAACATAAAACATCTTTTCTGAAAGCTGCTTGATCCCGGGCTGCAACTCTTCGTACAGACACAAATTCAAATTCATATTCATTTTACATACCATTCCATATCTTATTACCATTTTCAATTTTCTATATAGCTTCTCCCCTTTTAACTTTCTTAATTTTATTTTATTTATCTCATCTCAGTTCAAATCATAATACTTATTATTCTTTCTCTGTTCTGTTTCCAGCTATCCATTTATCTTTTCTCTTTAAACAAAACTTCTCCTGTACACAGATTGGAGTATGACGCCTTTAACTCTTTCCCCTAAATTTATAATACTTAATATAATACATAACTTGCATTGGGATTCTGTTTAGTACATTCTAAAATTACACAATGTATTTTATAAGAAAAAAAAAAAGAAAAAAGAAAAAAATTATAGGTATATGATGTAATTAAAACAACTATCAATGCCAATACAAATCTAATCATAAATATTAATATTCATTTATATCTTAAACATTTTACACGTTACTTTTCAATTAAATATCATACTTTTATGGGAAAACTTATACTTTCTATAGTTATTTCCCCCCCACATCACATATTTTAAATCATTATATCATTAAAATGTTCCCATTTCTCCTACTTCAATTCTCTCATTTATTTCATTACCTTCTTTTTCTTCACAAGGATTTCACTAAATTACACTAAATGTTCTATCCCATTTTTGGTTACATGTTGTTTCCAATTTTCTAACATTATTTCTAAATACAAATATAAAGATACAATCTTATGTATCTTTACAGAATCCCTTTTTCAATTAAATTTACCCATTGTCTCTAAATGAATTTTGTTTCTTTACATCTTGCTCCCCACCATTGAGGCTTCTCATCCCTTCCTTTCTCCCTTGCTTATTCTTCTCCTTGCCGTTTTTACCCCCTTGTCTCTCCACCTCCCTTTTGCTCTTCTGCTTTCCCCCTTTCTGTTGTTTTCTAACATTGTATCCACTTTTTACCTTATTTTTCTCTTTTTTGGTTGTTTTTTCAAATCTTAAAGTCCCCTTTTTCTTTTCCTCTTTCTCCTTTCCTTCCCCAAATAGAGTCACTTGTTCATCAAAGATGGCTTCTTCTTTATCCCAGTCATCCTGCTGCGCAGTCAGTTTTTCAAGTACAAACCGCCATTTCTAGAAATTGAAAAAGAGTGCCCAAAGAATCTTTCCCTTCTTGTTCTTCTTTTTAGTATTTTTGGTATTCAATTTTCAATTCATCCACAAGTGATGCCATTGTAGAGAGAAAAAGTTTTTCCAAGACAACCACCCAAGTGCTTTTAATCAAAAATAATTCCCAAAAGTTCCAAAGTCACCAAACAATCCAAATAAGCTGTTTCTTTTAGTACTTTTGTCTTTCTTCCGTTTCTCTTTCTGGGGTTGCTGTTTAGTCACAAAGTTCCAATTAAGGCATATCTTTTAGAAGTCTTATTAATATTTAATAGCTCTTTAGAATTCTAGGCAATCTCCTCCATATTTTCAAATTCTGCATTTTTTTCCCCTCTCCCTTCCCACTTACAGCAAAAAAGATTTTTTTTTAAGTATTCAGAAATCCTTATCCCTTTAGCATTTAATTACCTCCAATGCGGATTTTCCGATTTCTCTTGCAGTTCCATTCATTGTCACGTTAGGAAGGAGAGTGAAAAGAAGGAAAAAAAACTTTTCCTTTTAATTTCCATTCGCTGCTTGTAAAGCTCTGGAAACGATGTATCTTTAGCAAATATTAAGTTCCAGGGTACATTCGTTACTTTATCCCAGTCAGCAAAAAACACTTTCACTTCTTCACAGCTCCTCCTGCACTTTCTTTTTCCGGCTGAGCTCTTCTATGTGGTGGCCATTTCTGACCGCCACTCTGCTGCCTTCAGAAAAGGGGGTTTAGCCAGCTAGGGAAGAGAGGTGTGATATCTCTCGACCCTGCCAGGTCCCCCCTGTCTTCGCCACCTTCTACGGAGGTGGCTAGCCCCGAAGCCAGATGGCTCGGAGCACTTGGGCAGCGAGCGCAGGCAGAAACCGCACACGGTCGCAGATTCCTGCCTGCCCCGAAGTGAGTGTGTCTTGGAGGAGCCTACCTTATGCTGCTTGTTCTATATTAGACGAACCATAAGTCTGAATCATGGCAGTTCAGATAAAATATAAATCAAATACAATTTCATATTCAATATGCAGAAGACTATTGTGAGATTATTCTGAGGAATTTATAAATTACAAAGATCCAGATGTTCCATTCCACTGATACTAATGCAAATTTGCTCAAAGTATGATTGTTCTTAAAAGTAGTAGGGTGTATCCCAGGTAAGTATTTTAGATTTGATCCAAATTTACATTTAATTATTTTCACCTAAACATTGTTATTTTCCCATTTTTCTCCCTCTGACTCATTTAAAAAGTCTCAGGCATTTCCTGAAATGATCCTCATTTCAGGCTTCAACTTATTCTAGAAGATACAAGAATTATAAAAGTCTTGCTGTGTTCTGACCCAAACCTGTTTCCAGGAGAGCAAATACAAGACAAAGGCAGCAGCCCAAACTTTTAATGTTTCATCTATGAATTTTGTTTCTTCACAGACAAAAGGCTGCTTCCAACTAATTAACTCTGACAAGAAAGAGCCTTGCCAAGTTTTTGCAAGGCTGCCAAAAAACAACACATAAGAAATAGTTTACAATACAAGTCTTCAAATAACAACTGTAATGCCCATGAGGCTGAGTTTCAAAAGGTCTTTGCTTCCTACAAAGAATGTTCGCTGCACAGTTGCCTTTTATCTTCTTGAAGGAGGGGCCATTACCTTGCAGCCTTACTTCCAAGTCACCCGTACTGTTGTAGCTGCTCTTTCCTGTGAGCAATTCTGCATGCACGTGCACTTGGCACAGGCTCCTCGGAACCTCCTCATTGCTGAAGGCAGCCTTCCACCCCTTAATGGTCCTGGCCCCTCATCTGAGTCCTCGCTCTCCTCAACCATCCGCACCTGCTGCCAGCTAACCACAACATGCTGCTGCTTTATAAGTTTTAAGCACCATTTCAATCTGTGCTGGATTTTTGTCAAGTATGGTGAATATTATTTGTTCGTATTGGTAAATGTATTTTGGGAATGTTCATGTGTGTTCCAGAAATCCTAAGTGGAGTGGATGGAGAATGTGTATCTTGAAGCAACAATTACATCAAACTTTCAGTATTTTGCAGCTGCTGAATCCAAATAAATGTTTCTTGTGTGTGTGTGTGTGTGTGTGAATACAGGTAGTACTGGACTTACAACCATAATTGGGGCCAGTTCCAGTTTCCATTGCTAAGCAAAGCAGTTGTTAAGTAAGTTGCACCCAATTTTATGACCTTTTTGCCATGTTATTAAGCAAATTACTGCAGTTGTCAACTGAATCATGAGGTCATTGACTTTGCTTGATGGCAGCCTGCTGGGAAATGGTGGTCACATGACCCCAGAACACTGCAACTACCCTAAATACATGCTAGTTGGCAAGCACCCAAATTCTGATCACAGGATTGTGGGGAATGCTACAATGGTCATAAGTGCAAGGACCAGTTGTAAGTCACTTTTTCCAGTGATGTTGTAAGGTTAAAACAGTTACTAAACAAAATGATTGTAAGTCAAGGATTACCTATATATCAGTAAAGATAAGCGTTCTTGAAAACTGTTGTACAATGTTTTCTGGTAGGCTTTTAGATGTTTTCAGTGCATTGTATTCTTTTTTTTAGATATCATAGCATTAGTTCTGGGCATGGTCTATTTCTTCCGCCATATTGCTCTCCCACCAACAAGTTATAGAACAAAATATATAATGTTTGTGAACTCTAAACTCATCTCAGCCAGTCCTTGAGTGTTGAAGATTTGGCCTGAAATGAATACAAACTCCAGCTCCTTTGTAGTGTAGTTTGTAGTTATTCATTAGCTCAGCAAACAACAAACACTCTTCTCTGACAAGAAAGGCTAAAAGCCAGGCAAGGTTAGAGTTGGGTTTGGTAGAGGGGGCCGCCTGTCGGGCTCTGAATTCACTCGGACCCCGTCAGCTCTGAATATGCCTCACAGCAAATCAGTGGGCCATTTCACCTTATCTCTACTGCTGTTGGATCTGTATTTCTGCTTGTGTGCTGGCCAATGGCTCTGGAATGACTCAGCAGAGCTGAGGATGGATTCTGCAACAACTACAGGGATGGAGGATGGATTCTGAAACAACTGCACTGCTGGAAATGGCTCTTTTCATGTATTGATGTGGTGCATATTGTTAAAGGGGGTTGGGGCACATATAGGTGGTAATTAAGCTTTAGGTTAAAACATGGTGCAGGTGGCACCAGGTGGGGATCAGTTAGTGAGGGTCGGAATAGGGTAGGGATGCAAACATGTTATAGGGTTAATAGCATTTAGGGATAATGGGTTAGGCGTGGCCAGAATTAGAACTGCGTATAGGCCTGGGTGTGATGGGGTGTGTCTCATGATAATGGTAATAAAAGGAAAGGGAGCAAACTCAAACCCAACTTTAACTTTGCCTGTTTTTTAGCCTTTCTTGTCAGAGAAGAGTATTTGTTGTTTGCTGAGCTAATGAATAAACCACCATCGCACTACAAAGGAGCTGGAGTTTGTATCCATTTCAGGACAAATCTTCAATACTCAAGGACTGGCTGAGAATTAGCTGATTTCTTAAATGGAACATTTGACTCAGTGCTACCAAGTCAATTATGTCTTTGGTTGTGAAGTTTATCATGGAGAATTTACTTAAATGAATTGTTTCATTTAATTGGGAATATAGCAACATTATACTGTATATTATTGGCATTAGAATTATTGAGTTATCTCTTTGTTTTATATGCTTCTTGTAAGTGATGTAAATAATTGTTTCTGTGAATACACACTGTACATAACAATGGGTAAATTATTCCTGATGCAGCAGTGCTTTCTTCCTAAATAGGAAGTGGATGATATGCTTTTCCCCATATGTATTTCTTAAAACAGTCATAAACTTTCTTTCCAGCTAAAGGAAATGCATTGTTGATAGGACTTTGACATTTTATTTTGAATATTTGGAATGCGGTTTGTGGCTTTTGTGATTTTTTTCAGCATGAATTGTCAACATCTAATCAAGGATGAAAGCTGTTTAGGAATGGCATGCTACTGCAGAAGAATTGGTCTCTCCACTTTCATCATATTAGTCATCATATTATGCTCAGTTTTACAATGTGATATACGGAGATGTTTTACCATAGCACATGAAAACTGATTGATTTAACTCTTTTAGACATTTGCAGTTGCGGGCTTGGGATCCGGGCTAACAGAAGCAGTTGTGGTTAACCCTTTTGAAGTAGTCAAGGTTAGCCTCCAGGCGAATCGGGATGCTTTCAAAGAGGTAGAGTAACTGGGATGTTTTTTTTTTCAATATGTTGGGGAATTGTATGTATATATCTTCATTAAGCTCTGGGGGGAGATTTCTTGAGTTGGTTAAAAATAAGTGGTGATTCCAGTGTAAGTGTTGTCCCATCAAAATACCTGACAAATCAAATCAAATCAAATATATGATAAAATACACTGGAGCGGGGAAGAGAGAAGAGGTTTTAGGAATGAATCCCAAATAATTTATTATCTTATGCTATAATTAAAAAAATGAATTTCAGGTTCTATCAGAAGAGGGGACAGAAGGAAAACATGGAAAATGGAAAAAAATCTTTTTTCCTCCTAACTTATTTTGCTAAGTCCTATACTCTAGTGAAGCGCTGCTTCAAAATTTTGTGATTGAGTTTCCCAAGCATTCTCAGTAGAGTAAAAAATGATTAATTGGAGAGAAGCATTAGAAATTTAAATGTCGTAGCCTGAGTAAACTACCATATTTCTTGGTGCAGGACAATAGATGATTCTAACTCTGTCATGTAACCCATTAGTGGATATGAGTGTGTGAATTCATCAAAGGGATCACTACTGCTGGCCAGTTTCCCTGATTCATTAATAACTGTAGATATAGTGCGGAGCAAATGTACATCCGGAGTGGGATTCAAATTTGAATCAAATCCCACAGGGGTGGGATTCAAATTTTTTAACAACTGGTTCTGAGGACATGGCTTAGTTGGTGGGTGTGGCTTGGTGGTCATGTGACTGGCTGGGCATGGCCAACTCAATATCACTCACATCGAGGCACACATCTCCTTGCCTGGCCTCTCAAGACTGTAGGGATGCTGCAACAGTTGTAAGTGTGAAAAACGGCCATAAGTCACTTTTTTCAGTGCCACTGTAACTTTGAATGGTCACTCCACACAAGCAAAGTACCAGCAAAGGAAGGAAAAATAACTTCAGAGAAGTTCCTAAGACAGGAAGTCTAGTCCTGCCAAGAATGTAATAAGGGTTAACAGAGAGGCAGTTTCTGTAAGCAACACCAGAATGTTTCCTTCCTGCCTTCCTTACAGGATTAGATTTATCCAACAAACAATCAATGAATAAATTTCTACATATTGAAAAAACCCTCCCTTTTTACAACCCTGTATTCCTGATCACACATAATAACCATCTAGTAATTATATATTTAAGCACTGGACTAGACAAGCAGTTTGGTGTAGCTATTAAGGCACCAGGCTAGAAACTAGGAGACTCTATGGGTTCTAATCCTGCTTAGGAACAAAAAACCAGTTGGATGACCTGGAACCAGTCACTCTCATTCTCTCAACCCTAGGAAGCTGGCAATGGCAAACCACTTCTGAAATCTTGCGAACAAAACTGCAGGGACTTGTCTAGGCTGTTGCCAGGAGTCAATGATGATTATGATTTTTTTTTAAAGACTAAATGAATTAAACAGGTTCAAAATGCACTTTCTATATGTACTTAAAAGCTTAGGAATTCTCAGCTGAGATTATAGTTAGTTAGTTAGTTAATTAGTTAGTTGGTCAGTCTCTTTGAGTAATAAATATGCCTTCTCACAAACTACTTTTAAGTTTCCTGAATTTTAAATATAAAGCTATGTGACACAGTAAGGAGGGTGAAAACTGTGTCCCATCCTCTTGTGTGTACAATTCTTATTTAGCCTTCTGAAATAAAAATTTTAATGATTGCTTTTGTCCAACAATGTTTTCCTCATCTAAATCGCATCAAAATATTTTTATTTTATTTTTTCAGATACTGTTCTAATTTCCCCTGTGTTTGAAGGTCAAGCTTGCTATATCTATGAGTAATACTCACTTTGGGATGAAATGCTCCTTTGGCACTACTACCTTCATAAATGAGATTTCTCTCCTTATTCTTACCCACAGAGGAGGTAATTAAGTGCCCTCTCTAGTCCATTTTCACTCTTGCAGATAGATTAACAGCAGCTGCATTTTCAAAACTATTCAGAAGTATTCCCAGCATAAGTCCCACAGTTTTCTACCAGATTTAATTATTAAAAATCTACTGTATTTGGGGTTGTAGATTTAAGCTGCAATCTGATAAGGTGACGTTTGCCAAACTGACGTGATTAAATAGTTGCAAAGCAACTCTGGCTTAGGAAACAACTTTCCAAAGTAGAACCTTTCCACCTCAGAAGGTCTGAGTACATATAGCAAGTGCATTTATAATTTAGGAACATTCAGGAACTGACAGGGGAACTTCACAACCCCCTTCTGAAACTTAATAATTCTGCTGTTCTTCATGATTTCTCTACAGGGTTCTTAAGTAAATAAACATGGTGTTTGACTTCAAATGCAATAGAAACGAATCTCTCTGTGAACAATACGGTTTGACATGTTTGAATATGTTCAAGAATTTTCTAAAGAAAAGGAAAGAGAGAAAAGTGGTAGAAAATCCTTTCCTAATTTTTTTTAATTTAAAAAAAATGCTAGCAAAGCTTATAGAAGGTCATGGTGATTGGCAAGGCAGATTTGCTGGCTTAATTTTTAGGGTAACTACAAAATTCACTTAATAAGAATATATAATTTAATAACAGGTTATCCACAAATTTACTGACAAGCAAAATGATGAATATACAAAGGGGCTTTTCTTCTCTTGCTGAAGTCAGAAAAATGAATAGAAAAATCCAGACAAGATTAAAATGTGTCAGTACAGTCCTCCTGTAAGTCCATAATTAACTAGTACCAAAAACTCATATTTATTATTTTCTGATCCATATGTTTCAAGGTAGAAATAGCAATAGCACCTAGACTTATATACCGTTTCAAAGTGCTTTACAGCCCTCTCTAAGTAGTTTACAGAGTCAGCATATTGCCCCCAACAATGTGGCTGCTCATTTTACCGATCTTGGAAGGATGGAAAGCTGAGTCAATCTTGAGCCGGTGAGACCTGAACTGCCCAACTGCTGGCAGCCAGTGATCAGCAAAAGTAGCCTGCAGTACTGCATTCTAACCACTGTGCCACCACAGCTAATAATTGCTATAATGGGACTGTGTTAATTCCTTTAGGAGTTCAAAATAATATACTACAAATGGGGGTTCCCTCTTTCAAATGGATAAGGTAGAGTCTCCTTCAAACTTACTTTGACTCCTGGTAACTACATAAAGACAACCTTGTAGTTCTCCTGACAGTAGTAAAGATGTGGCCTTCCATGACTACCTTCTGGGGTGCATTTTTTACTTCTCAATTTGATCTAAACCTTAGTATTCACTGGTCATCTTCCATCCAGTAGAAAGAAACTGATAGATTTTTCAAGATCAGTCAAAATTAGCAGGATGCTGCCAGCTGCTGTTACTCTTCCAAACAGAGATAGCTTGAATTGAGAGTGTCTGGATTAATTCATGGCTCAACTAATGGTGAGTTTCCATAACTAAGTCAAAGTCTCCTCTCTCTGAGCCTAATCAACAGGATATTCACTTCTTTACGCTGTTTTTTACCAGACCAAGTTATGGCAAGCATATGTAAATAAAAATGAAGCAATATATTAAAAGAATATCCAGCCAGACTGTCACCTGAATAAGCAGAAACCAGATGACTTTGATATGGCAAGATTCGTTTGGGTGATTTACTTCAATGATATTTTGTCATTAAACAAATGAATACAAGATGACATAAACATCATTTAAAGAGTTGTAGTCAAAATGGTCTTAATTTCCCTATATAAGCATCCTTGTGACAATCATGTTTTGCCTTTCTAATTAAACATTTGATTACACAAATATAACTTTAGTGAATAACAAAACTAAACAAATAAAACCTTGATAGAAAAAAACCATATTTAATTTGGCACTAGACAATTATATATTAAAAAAAACTTCCACACCAATTGGCTTGGATTGGAATTTTGAAAGCTTAAGGACCTAGATGTTCTATGTATGTATATATGCATAAACCTCCTAGCTGGGGAAATGCAGGAAACAATATGCAGGCAGCCATATGTGGATTTGCAAAGTAGTCTCTAGATTAGAGGTCCCAGGTTGCACAGCAATATATGCCCACTTGGAGTAAACCTGGGCTTTGGCCATGCATGAGGCATTAGCCAAAATATACCCAAACTGAGCTTTATTGTTTTTATTGTTAGCAGGAATGCTATATGGAGCACAAGTGCAACTGGCCTTGAATGCATGGTGAACCTTGTTCCAAAGGTACTTTTTCCAAAAGGCAACTGGACTTTTTTTTTTGTTATTTTCCTTTGCAAACGTTTTCATTTCTCATCCAAGAAGCTTCTTCAGTACTTGGATGAGAAACAAAAACATTTTCAAAGGGAAAAAACAAAGTCCAGTTGCTTTTGCCACTTGGAACATAAATGGTAAATAGGATAGGTTAAAGCAGTGGCAGATTAAGGCTTACTGGTGCCCTAAACACTGACAAATCTTGGTGCCTAACCTCCTTTGTACATACTGTACAAACGAAGCCAAGCTTCATTGGGTTTTCTTTCTTTCTCAACTTTGTGGTACCCCCTTTGGGCCTGGTGCCCTAAGCACATGCTTAGTCTGCTTAATGGTTAACATACCACTGGCAGAGGGGGTATTCAGCAGGTTCTGACCAGTTCTGGAGAACCAGTAGCAGAAATTTTGAGTAGTTCAGAGAACCAGAAAATATCACCTCTGACTGGAGATTTTACAGTATCCTTCCCCTGCCTGCCCACAGAACTGGTAGTAAAAAAATTTTGAATCCCACCACTGACCACTGGGTTAAAGAAGGAAATGAATAAAAGTCACATAGATAATTTGCCTGTCTGTGAAATTTAAGAGAAAGGGGAAGTATCTAAATGAAAGTGGTTTTGCTTTGCCAAATATGCAGGGAAGTGAAGATATAGGTTTAATGAAAAGGTAAAGTGCACATGAAAAAATATGGATTGGTTTGTCTAGATTAGTTTGGATATATATGAAATCAGAATCCATTGACTCATAATATTCAATGTTACAATCCACTAAATGTTACTAAAAGAACAAAATATGATTCAGTTGGTGAAAAACTGCAAGGTCTGGATAAATTATATCAAGGAAGAAAAACATTAGGAATTCAAAATTAAAAATTAAAAAATAGAAAGTAAGAAAAAAAACCTGATGGAACCATTCCGATATCCAAAAAGGAATGAGGATAGGATAGTTGAAAAAGTTATCTTTGTTTTACATACATAGTGTGAGCATCAATCTATTTATATGTACACATGGGAAAAGAATGAATAAAAAACATAATTGATTTTATTGTTCATGATGAAAAATTAAAAATAATGAGTGAAAGATACAAGGCTCTACTAAGACTGGAGATATCCAAGTTCAAGTCTGTTCCCAGACAAGGAAACCCAGTTTCCTAAGCCAGTTATGTACACTACTGAAATATTTATAGAGAAGTTTTGTCTTTTGCTTTATTTGTATAGCAACCATCCACCTTTGCTAAAGCTCACCAAATTATTCAGGCCAATGGGTGGGGTCTGAGTGGACTCAACAAAGGGCTGTCTGCTACTTTGGGACGTCATGGAGTTTTTAATATGGTCTATTTTGGATTCTACTTCAATGTGAAAAACATCATTCCTGCCAATAAGGTATGTACATTATTTTAAACTCTTTCACTGACCCATCTGAGATAAGGAATATTGTTCCAACTTTTTTCAAACAGTTGAAAAAACTGAGTACTACAGGTGAGACCCAAATATTTCCATAACTTCCATTTTTCCAAAGCTGGTCCTATGGACCTTCCAAAGGGAGTAATAGTGCTCTCACATCTTGCATCTAAACCCAAGATCCCTGTGACTCTTACCCTACTTCCTTTAAGAAAACCTGAAGGTTTGACTCTTCCCCCAAGGCACTGGACCAAAAAGTGATTTGAATCCATCATTTGAACTGATTTTTTTCTCCCAACATGATCATTTATTACGTATTCTTGTTCTGGCTGTTATTATTTCTTTTAACCTCCTGTAAGCCTTACAAGGCCATCAGCAAGAGAGCAGCCTTGAAAATTAAAATTATAATGATAGCTAACATAAACAAACATGTTCAAGACATTTAGTTGGCTCTCCTTGGAAGTACAGTGTTGATCTAAAAGGGCAAATGGCTTGTCTTAAGGCTACAGAGTGCATATGTGACAGAGGTGGACTTTTTAAAATCTGCAGTATAGTATTACATAAGATAAGTTAATGTACCTGTGAACAAATGGATTTCATCGGAGCCACAAATGAATACACCAAACAAATGTTAGTGTTTGAACTCCAAACACCCTTTAACTTGTACTTGCCCTTTAACCTATTGTGTTATATCTACTAAAAGAGTAAGTCTATCAGAATAATGAAGCTGTTGCTACGCTCACAAAGGAACATAAACAGGAGGACCTCCACAGTACGATTGGAAAGTAGGCAGTATATTTGATTCTTGAAAACTAGATTTGCAGTGAAACTATTGTCCCCATAGGATAAGGTATTAAAACTTGAGTCCTGGAAATACAAATTCCAATACTAATAGATCCAATAGTATGTGTCTTTTAGACGTTAACTGGGACATTTCTAAGCCCAAACAGAACTAATATTGTATGAACAATGTACAGTATTTGGTTTGAACTTCAAGGATTGTCCATATTTGTTCAGCTTTTGAGAATTGAGGAGCACACCAAATATGGCATCCTCCTCTATGAAGCTGCTCTAAGAATTTTTCTTTATATAGTGCCCTGCAGTTACTATGGATTACAACTGTCATCAGCTCCAACTAATATGGACAATGTGAGGGCAATGTGAAGGCAATATGACTTGGAACTCAATCCATCTAGAAAGGGACCAGGTTGGGAAAGATTGCATTGAAGGACCTTCATTCAGCAAATTACCCCATACATTCAAAAGACCTTTTCGGTACTTGCATGGCACAAAATGGCAAAAGAACTTTTTTAGGTTGTACAGTATAAACAGGCTCCACAGGAAACTTAGCATAACAGAATTCACTCGCAGTTTGCAGTATTCACACACGTGAGATTAAAACTTTATTGAGGAAATTTTACTCTCACTAAACTAATGTCCTGGGTAGGAAGGCCATCTGAGAAAGCATGAACTGCTGGATTGTGTCAGCACATGTAGAAAGCTGTTGTTTTAAGGATGGCTTTATCGATAGCTAGTTAATGAATTTTTCAAAGCCAGGCGAAATTGTAGGCTTTGGACAAAATGTTTTGTACATTCTTCAGCCAATCTGCTTCATTGAGTTACTACTGTTCCTGATACAGAAAGGCATAGAAATCTGCTCTGCAATTCTAACGTTGCTGGATTGTTAATAGCAGGAAGCCAGGCCCCCTTGGTACAGTGCATCAGCTACACGCAAAGCTTAAATGTAAAAAAAAAAAAAAAAGCTGGAGGAGGAAGGCAGCAGACTGAGATTAGCCTTTATTTAATTTAACATTTGGGGGTCCAATGCACAAATGAGCATTTTAGTAGGCTTCATGGTGGAAGTTGCTGTCATTTGTAAAATATTCTGGCCAATTAGCTAATAGTGTGCTTAGATTTCTCCCGTTTTGATACAGTAATACTAAGTACATTGTGAAGCCCAATTATACAAATCATCCCCATATGCCGAACTGGTCTTGCTTTTATGAACTGTGTTTATAAATCCTGTGTGAGGAAATGTGTACTTCAGCAATTTAGACCATGTGTAAAAACATAGCCAATCGGATTGTCAAGAAATGGAGCCCTGGCATTGGAAGTCCTAATGCATTCCACTAGAATAGCAGGAGTGTATTGTATCATGCAAGCTTTCTGATTAAATGCATATTATTTCATAGTCTTTAACCAATTGAGGTGCTTCTATTCCTATTTTAACTTTATCTTTCTTTTCCTCCTCTTCTCTCAGCTGTTTTTTTTCCCCAAAATGTTATTACATTTTCAATAAACAAACATACACAAACAAAACACAAAACATGAAAACATAAAACTTCTTTTTGGAAAGCGGCTTAGTCCCGGGTTACATCTTTTTGTACAGACATAAATTCAAATTTATGCTCACTTTTATATACCATTTCATATCTTATTTACCATTCTACATTTTCTATATAGCTTCTCCCCTCTTTTTACTCTTTTTACTCTCTTAATTCTATTTTATTTATTTCATCTCAATTTAAATCATTATACTTATATCTTTTGTCTGTTCTGTTTCAACTATCTATTATCTTTTCTCATTAACACAAAATTTCTCCTGTAATCACTGATTGGAGTATGACGCCTTTATATCTTTCCCCTAAATTTAACACTTAAAGTAATACATAATTTTCATTCAGATTCTGCTTAGTACGTTCTAAAGCTACATACTATATTTTAAAATAAGAAAAAATAATGTTTATAATATAATTAAAACAATAATCCATAGCAATTAAACTCTATCATTAAAATTAATATTCATTAATTGGTAATATTCATTACTTGGTTCATTTTATGACAGTCATTCTCTTTCCCCAATCCATCGTCTTTCTTTTCCTCCTCTTCTCTCAGCTGTTTTGTTGGTTTGCTTATTTTGTTTATCCAGGATCCAACATTGGAGTTTCTGAGAAAGTTCGGAATTGGGCTAGCCTCAGGAACAATTGCCTCAATTATTAACATCCCTTTCGATGTTGCAAAGAGTAGGATTCAAGGACCACAGCCTGTGCCCGGAGAAATCAAGTACAGGACCTGTTTTAAAACGATGGCAACCATTTATAAAGAAGAAGGGTGAAGTATTCACTTCAGTAAAATCGCATTGCAGATTTTCAATATGTAACACTGTAGATTTCATCAGGTCCCTAAAAATCTCTCTGTATAGTATTTATATATCAAACCTTTTCAAAGCTTCACAATTCAAAATATACACATGAAATTAAAAGAAGATTCTTCTTTAGCCTGAGTTTTCTGAATTTTTATTTAACAAATTTCTTATTATATTATTCTGAAAAGACTCTAGTGTTCTACAGCAGACCATTCAGTTTATACACCTTAGTATCAATGGGTGCATTGGGGCAAGGGTGGCCATTTTTCCCCCAACACCAAGATAGTCTATATTTAATTGTTTCAACTGTAAATACTAAAAACATGCTGTTTGCCCAAATTGAGATTGAGGAAAGACAGCTTGTCAACATCTCTGCAAAGGGGGTTAGTGGAAGCAAGAATGTTTGGTTTTAAGCAGATCTAGAGGTCACAATGAAAACTGTAGGTTGAAAAGGCCCTGATTATGTCTGGATGCAAATTATACAGAAAAGGCTGTTTCATATATCAAAAAGGGTTTTGCACCTGAAGAATCAAAGTCATCCTAAGAGCTACTTCAGAGAATGCCACTCATCCTCCCACATTTCTAACTTTCTGCCATTTCTTTAGTCAGCGTTCTACCCTAGTCTATAGAGGAATGAGAATGCAACATCTGCTTGTTTAATGAGCTGGCACACAATTGATCTGGAACATGACTTTAGTGTATTCATGGAATCAATATAGTACTAGGATTTCAAACTTCATGCATGCAAATAGTCTAAAGCAGGGGTTGCCAACCTTTTGGACCTCAGGGACCACCAAACTTATTTTAAATCCCAGGGACCACTACCCAGTTCTGTGGGCATGGCCTAATTTGTGGGTGTGGCTTGGTCATGTGACTGGCTGGGCATGGCTTGTATGTACATATTATAAATATTTATATAAATTTTGATTTCTTTATCAAAAAAGAGCAACTTTTACCCAAAATCAGGCAAAGCAGGCAGGCAGATTAAGTTGCTCACAGAATCACAGATTCATTCAGAGATCTATCTATCTGCCATTGGCTAGCTCAATCTGTCACATAAAATTTGCTTGCAAGCAAACTCATAAAATTAACTCACAACACACCATGTATGTAAACATTGAATTTTTTATTTTAAAAAGAGCAACTTTTACCCAAAATCAGGCAAAGCAGGCAGGCAGATTGAGTTGCTCACAGAATCATTCAGTGATTTATCTATCTGCCATCGGCAGCTCAGTCTGTCACATAAAATTTGCTTGCCGTGAGTCTGCACTGAATAATAGAACCTTCAGTTCTAAGAGAGATTCGACTGTGCTTAAAAGCAGAGCCAAAGATCTAAAGACTAGCTAGAAAGCAAGAAATCCAACCATTTCCTGCTTCCTAGCTAATATAAAACTCCCAGCACAGCAGAACAGCTAATGGTCAGAAAAAGGAAAAATAGCAATTTAGCAGGCAAGTTTGCTGGGTAAGGAGTGAGTGGGCGGGGAGGGTTCCCATGGGCCATGTGGGCGGTGCAGCCTTGTGTTTCTGCGCAGCCTGGATTAACTGCTTTGTGAGGGTGCTCTTAGGGTGAGATTTCTCTGCGGTCCACCAAAATTTTCTTGTGGGCCACCAGTAGACCGCGGCCCACTGGTCTAAAATAAGAACTCAATCACAACATAGTTAAAGTAGAGCCATTAGAATGGTGCATGTTTCAGAAAGGATAGAATATAATGCTTTCAACCTTGCATAAGGACAACACTTCTCTACTATTCACTAAAATATTCTGTCAGAAATTAAGTATCCGTTTTCATTCTAAGAAGCTCATAATCCAGCTAAGACCAAGTTTTGTTGTAAGCAGACTGATGAGCTATTAAGAAACCCCGATCAATGTAACTGACGTTTTTCATTGTTTTTCTACAGATTTCTAGCTTTATACAAAGGCTTGGTTCCCAAGATCATGCGGCTAGGACCAGGTAATTCTTTTCTCATTCACTATTAATGCTATCATAATTTTATTTATATACAGTGGTACCTTGGTACTCAACTGCTTTGAAACTCATCAAATTTGGTACTCAATGCATTTTGACATGAACGTTATGTCCCAGTACTCATCATTCGTTTGGTACTCAATGCACAAGCTAGAACTTGTCAGTGTCAGCTGCCTTGTTGACTCACTACAGTATTCCTTATGGGAAAAATGTGTTTGATATTCATCATTTTTTGTACTCATTGTGTCTCCTAGAACCAATTAACGATGAGTACCAAGGTACCATTGTAGTTTATTTTGATTCAGTAACTTCAAACTCCAAATATGTAGTCTGATTTGTATTATGTCTCTTATTATATACTATGTTATTACTGTTCTTGGTTTCTTTTTCTCCCTCATACATGCTCACTGCTCAATCAACGGTACAGTAAATAAAAGCAAGAAAAAAAATCTGGTAAAAGGACATACCCAAACCTAAATCTCTACCCTATTTGCCAGATGTTGAAGCAGACTTTAGTTTTAACTTATCTTCTTTCCATTATAACTGACCTGTAAAATCAAACTGATACCTTTTGTCAGGTGGTGTCATTAGCCTATTATTTTATTCCAGCTATTGCATAGGCCAGTGGTGGCTAACCTTTTGGGGCTCTTGTGCCGATAATTGTGTGTGCGTGGGGGGTCCGCCCCATGCACATGCACGTGTGCCCCCCGTGCATGCCTTGCATCTCTGCGCATGCATGTGTGACCCTCCCGTACACCGTGCATCTCTGCACATGCATGAATGACCCCCTGCGTGCGCCGCACATCTCTGTGCATGCTGACATGTCTGCTGCGTATCCCTGCCCCTTGTGCATGTGCACCAGATACCTGACAATCAGCTGTCAGGTGCAGTAGACCTGCTCTGGGCAAGGGCTCTTGTGCCAGCAGTAATGGCTCTGCGTGCCACTTCCAGCATGTGTGCCATAAGTTCGCCATCATGGGCATAGGCCTTTAATTGTATATACAAAAGTTAATGAGTAGAAATGAACACATTTAAGGAATAGTGAGAAGTTGGGTGCTGGGATATTTCCACCCCAGCCCTTTGGAACATATACCCAAGATTGGGTTCCTGAATACATCTTTCCAGAATATGGACCTTCCTCCAAATAGGTGTATTTCCAGGACTCTCTAGCTAACATGGCCATTGATAAAGGTTCAAATCCACACATTTGGAAAGGCACATAGTTGGAGGAGATTGTCTTAGTAAAAATATTATCAAGGATATATTTGACCCTGGATTTTAAAAATTTGTTCAGATGTTATTTATTTACTCATTTTGTATACAGGTAGTCCTTCATTAGGACCAGAAACTGCATCATTGGGTGATGTGGTCATAAGTTAAAACAAAAAACAAAAGACACATGACTACCACTTATCAACAGCAGTTCCAGAAGTCCATGATGCTGATAAGTGAGAACCATTAACAAGGCCCTTGTGTGAGTGTTACTAGCAATTTCCTACCAGCTTCCCGATTGACTTTGCTAGTCAGAAGCCATCAAGGAAGGTTGCAAATCACAATCATGTCACTGAGGGATTCTGCAACAGCCTTAACTACAAGGAACTGTTATAACCACCACTCACTCAGTGCCACCGTAAATTCAAACAGACAGCTGCTATATGAATGGTCATTAAACAAGGACCACCTGTGCTCCCCAGGTTATGCATGTATTATTAGTGTGTGAAGTTTAAAACCAGAACCATCAAAATTAATTTCATTTATTCTCTCATATGAATATTCCTATGTTGGTTGGCCACTATGGTCACTAGATTAGATCAGATTACATAATGGGAATTGGAATTATGCTCCAAGGATAATAAACTTCCAGTTCACTTTGTCTTTGATCAGCTATGATGAAGACCACAAGAAAACTATTACCACCTTCTAAATAAACACAGAATGTTTTTCTCTTTGTGTTGGCTTACTCAGCAGCTAATGAAGGCGTAATCTCAAAAAGATCTGTCAGATTGTTTCATTTGAAATACCTATTAGATGTGAAGTATACAAAATAGTTTCTCCTAATATTTTTACAATGGAGATTCCCTTCATAAAAAGTTTATTTTGTCCAGGAAATAACCAATAGACATAGCTATTTTTTCCCATGAGCGAAATTCACCCAGTTATTTGGCTTTAGACCAGTGAAGACATTTATGCTGTGGATTTAAGAAAGCTTTGCTGCATTTTGATGGTTTCTCCCCCATAATACACACACATTGTGTGTATAATACATATTGTGTGTACAAAGTTCTACACCAAAATATAAAATGCAAGATCCAAACATTTCTTTATTTCCAAATAATTTCAACTGATTGGTATAGAAAAGTCAGAATTCCTTCCATGATGAGTTACTTCTTAAATGTTGTACTTCAAAAAATTCTTTCTTTTCTAGGTGGTGCAGTGATGCTGCTGGTTTATGAATATGTTTATGGGTGGCTTCAAGAAAACTGGTGACCAAAAGTACTAATTTCAGACTGAAAATAATGTAAAACAATCCCTATCAAATAAAAAAGTATGGGCATCAGCATTTATAGGCTTAAAAATGAAAAGGAGAATTGTACAATGGTGGAAAATAAATGGCCTTGGTTACTGAAGGCCAATAGTAGTAAATATTCTTCAGTTGATATATTTCAACCCAGATACAAATACTATCCCACTAAGTATTTAAAAGAATATAATGTATGTCTGTCAAGCAAATTAAAAGTGTTCATTTGATCTATCTCTTGTTGACTCGTTGACTGAACAAATCTATTGTTTAAGATACCTGCCTAAAATCCAAGAGGCTGTAAGTTCCAGTCTCACCTTAGGCATGAAAGCCGGCTGGGTGACTTTAGGCCAGTTGCTGTCTCTCAGCCAATTCACTTCACAGGGTTATTGTTACAGAGAAAAATAGGAGAAAGGAGCATGTTAGCCATCCTGACTTATTTATAAAAATATCAAAGGCAGAGTATAAATAAATAAACATTATAAAGTTGTTATAAACTGAGATCTTGATTTTAGAATCCAGTCTTATATTCAGATTCCTGAGTGGTGATGAGGAGAGATAAACTCAGAGCTGAGTACTTCTAAATTTAATTGGAGTTGCTGTCATGTTTGATGAAGTAAACAAATCATGATCAACTCTGGGCTATCATATCTGGGTTTCAAAAATTCAGATGACCACTAAATAGCACCAAATAGTTGGATGGAGTTGTACTTCTCTCAAGTATCTGTAACTCTATTACTGATTGTAATATTAAGTATGCCCCCCCCCCATAGATGATTGCATTACATGCTGCTTGAAGCTGATATTAAAAATTACTCCGACAATTCTGCCAATAAAATAAATTAATGATTCTCATCCTTCTTGAAGCTGGATAATCAAATGATGTATCCGTTCATTCTGCATCAACTGTGCTCCTTGTCAGTTTATGTTTTACTCAATTTGAAATACTTCAGGGCTTTAAAATTCTAAACAACATTATCACTTGATATTTTTAACAGGCATTAGATACAGGTCCTTCTTAGTGGTAGCCTCTACCTTTCAAATTTCCTCTGTACAGAGAACAGTCTGGCTATGAAAACCATTCTATTTTTTTATGGCTTCTGGTTTTAACATTTTTAATATTTGCTCTCATCAAATATTTGAAACTGCATTTTATTTTCCATGTAAGATACTTACTTCTATCATTCGATATTTCATATTACTAGTTTATAATACAAACTGCATTCAAAAGACTATAATGCTGAAAGATGGCTATGAAATATAGATTTAAAAAACTATTTCTCAAAACTTCAAAGAAAAGTGAGATAATTGAATTCTTTTTTTAAAAAAATAGTATTTTTATAATGATGTTTGAGGCATATTATCTGTAAGACAGATAGAAATATCTTACATTTGTAAAGATATTTGTGTTGACATAACCATGTAGAAAAATTGCCTAGATTATATTATACTGGCTTTTTAAAAATGTTCGTAAGTAGTTGATGTCAACAAAATGTTTTGTTATGAATGTGTTTCCAATACATGAATTAAAAGTCTTCAGAGGAAATATGATATTTCTCTATTTTGTTGTTGTTGTTAATTTAGCATGTTCAAAATTCAAAAATAGCATACATTTACATAGATGGCTTTTGGCTGTACTTCCAACATGACTTTAAGTATATTTTCAACCTTATCTTTCAGTAAAATAAAATTATTTGATAGTATCCTCAACCACAAACAAATGATACTTTTAATGACTAGAAAGACTTGTTTTTCTGCCTGAGCCTATAAAGTTTGCAGAATGTGATAGAAAAACATGATTAGGATTAATCATGCTGTTTAGATATAAATCTAACTTCTTTCAGTAGGATGACTTTTTAATATAGTAATTTTATTAGAAATTACAATTAAAAATAAAAAATGCAAACTAAAAGAAATAAAAAATAAAATAAAAATACTGCAGAAAATAAAAATAAAAAATAAGGAAATAGTAAAGTAAAAGAAATATCTTCATCTCAACTAGTATAACATTCTAGTAACTTATCATCTCTTAAAATACAATAAATGATCTTGTCTTCCAATTTTAGATCTCTTATCTATACAAGTAGTCTTTGAGTTATAACAGTTCATTTAGTGACCGTTCAAAGTTACAACGGTACTAAAAAAAGTGACATGACCATTTTTCACACTTATGACTATTGCAGTAAAAAAAAACCCGGTCACATGATTTAGATTCGGCTACTTGACAACTGATTCATGTTTATGACGATTGGAGAGTCCTGGAATTGTGTGACCCGCTTTTGCGACCTCCTGACAAGCAAACTCAGTGGGGAAACCTAATAACCGTTATTTGTCACCTAATAACCATGTTACTAATTTAAGAACTGAAGTGATTCACTTAACAAATGTGGTGAGAAAAGTCGTAAAATGGAGCAAACTCACAACAAATTTCTCACTTAACCACATAAATGTTGGGCTCAATTGTGGTCACAAGTTTAGGACTACCTGTAAACAAATCCTTAAAACCTCATTCTTCAGTGCTGGTCAGCAAATATACATTAAGGATTACCAGAGAGAATAACATATCTATCCACATATCCTTGATCGACTAAAACAACTATTCATTCCTTTTGCTTTTATCAAACTTTATATTTAATCATTTCAAATATTGTTTTAATGTTCCAGAACTTGATTTCTTTTCATTTTTTCTTTATTCTTTCTCACAAAATTCTTCAAAGCTTTAACAAGCCTTTTTTGTATATCCAATACAGGAAAATTATCCAGGTCACTCTCTGGGTTTGTTATTTGTATATCCCTTTAATTACTGGCTTTTTTAATATCTAGCATGACATCTTTTTTCCACATTATTCTTGTAGCTTATCATTTTTAAATCCACTTTCAGATCAGTTTCACTCTTGTCCAGTAAAGCTTATTCCTGTTCCATTCCATCTTTAAACTGTAAAGGCAAACACTCTTAAAATTATCTTCATTATATCCAGTGTTAAGATATTTTTCCATTCGGTATCAATAAGCCAATTTAAGTATTCTTCTCCTTTAATAGTAATCTTTAACTCCTTTTGGTTTCCTCTAATATCCAATCTTTGTCCTATTATGTTTTTAAAGAGAAGTCAAAACAAAAACATTTTTCCTCAAAACTTTAGTCTGGGACTCTAGAAAGAGTGCAGAGAAGAGCAACCAAGATGATTAGGGGACTGGAGGCTAAAACATATGAAGAACGGTTGCTGGAATTGGGTATGTCTAGTTTGATGAAAAGGAGGACTAGGAGTGACATGACAGCAGTGTTCCAATATCTCAGGGGTTGCCACAAAGAAGAGGGAGTCAAGCTATTCTCCAAAACACCTGAAGGCAGGCCAAGAAGCAACAGGTGGAAACTAATCAAGGAGAGAAGCAACCTAGAACTAAGGAGAAATTTCCTTACAGTTAGAACTGTGTCTGAAATAGTATAGGGTTTCCTGCCTAAGCAGGGAGTTGGACTAAAAGATTTCCAAGGTTCCTTCCAAATCTGTTATGTTATTCTGTTCTAAGAAGGATTCTTATAATTAATTCCAAATTCTTATCTCAAATCTATCTGGACCCTTTGTCCATTTGTATCTTTCCAAAATCAAACTTCTAGCTATTCTTTTGCTGTTTATTCCAAAATGTTTAAGTTCTTAAACTGGTAATTAAAGTTTATTTTGCTAATGATTGAAGGAAACTTACCTGGGCCTATAAAAGCTGTCAATTCAAAGATCCCTATAGGCAGGGGTGGGATTCAACTGGCATTACTACCAGTTCGGTATTTGCATTTTGCGTGCATGTACTATACCATTAGCCGAGCCACCGGGACAGCTAATAAGCGCTGCACACGGGTGCACAACATTTCAAAAAGCACTTTTTTATTGCTTTTCAACCTCAGCTGTGCCGTGCAAAGCAGCTGAGGTTGAAAAAGCGGGAAATAAAGGTCAGGTAGGAGCCCGGGCAGGCGGGTGGGCATGAAGAACGGGTTCTGTGTCTGCTGCTCTTCAGAGCTACCAAGTCTATAGAGCCGGGCAGAACTGGTAGCATCCCACCCCTGCCTATAGGGTCTGTAGTTTGAGCAAAGACAATTTTCCCTCATCTTCCACAGTTCCAAATTGCAATCTTCTTGCAAGAAGCAACTGTATGGAACACTTGTGGGCAATTTTAAATCCACTCCTTGTCCTAAAAGGGATTACAAAGAGCCAATCTATTTGCCGGCTTTTTATTCTGTCAAGGTCATTGAATCCAGTTTCAATGGAATCATCTTCAGTTCACCATTTCTTCCCCTGAAGTCCTTTTCCATAGGATTTCCAGGTGAACATCCCAATCAAAGTCATATATTTTGTAAATGGAAAAACAACTGTTCTAAAATCAGTTAGGTGGCAAGACAACCTATCAGCAGTGGTTCTTTTAAACCAACTATCGATGTAGCATTTCATCATATTCTTTACTGAAGGCAGAAGATACAAGATTTTAGGAATTATTAATAAATTAGGGTATATTCAAGAGAGTTTATGTAGCTCTCCTCATTTCCATTCTCAAGTAGGAAGGAAGAACATGTAGATAAGTTCTATTTCTTTTGTGGCTAGCATGACTGTGAGAAAGGGCTGAAGCATGTATCAGAAAGTGTAAATTGGTTCATCTAGTTTGTTTTAGTTATGTATGAAATCAGAATCCATTGACATTCTATATTACATTCCACTAAATGTTGCTAATAAAAAAACAAGATATGAATTTATGGGAAAATGTGCAAACTCAGGATAAATGCTACCAAGGAGAGAAACTATGTTAGGTGGCATGAATGGATGGATAGGAATCAAAATGAGAAAAAATGATTGGGGGATTCAGACACCTAAAAATGAATGCAATAATACTAAGTTTTCTATGGTTAGATACTGGGAAGGTGATATGTGAGAAGTAGTATTAAGACTCAGGGACACATACTGTACGCTACACACATTTCCATGTCAACCTGATCTGTCTTGCTGAAGTTGGAGAAAACAAGTGGTCCAAGTAAAGAGATGTGTAGCTCCAGCTGAAAAAGCATGTTCCCTGCTTATTCAACAAGATTTAAATACATGCCCACATTTTTCTACATCATCATCTTGTGCCAAATTTAAAAGGAGAGTATGTCATTCACATAGCAATGTTCACCTTTCACCTCCTTTGAAATTACAACTTATATGTAGTCCACTTTTCTGTTTATTTTTCAAACCAGCATCAAGTCCCAAGTGACTTTGAAAGCCAAGTGATTTGTGCCTAAGCCCCAAATCCTAGGTTGCGATTCTATCCTATACTTATTTGGCCTACAAAAATTCAGCGAGGTTTACTTCTGTGTGTAGGCACAGGTTAAATCACTTTTTTCAATCATGCAAAATGTGCAGGTGCATGTGTCTGCCCCATGAATCACTTCCCTTTATGCTTGAGTATGAAACTAGATTTAATGTTTTCAATTATAACAAAAGAAAGAGAGCTCAGTGGTCTAATACTTGCATAGACTGTAGAATTCTCCAGGTCCAATCTCTGGAGTCTGCAGCAAGTAATAGACATGAACATTGGCTACAGAAGGCCTCGAAAAAGTTTTTGCTAGCCAAAGAAAATAGTGTTGGAGCAGAGGAAGAAATATTTTAAAATCTCAGTTCTGGCTAGTACTTAACCCTGATATCTGAAAGTTTCCAGCTGAACATCTGCCTTCTCCTATAGTCAACAGGGAGAACTTCAGGCTCAAGATGATTGATACTATAAAGCAGTACTCACTCAACACCATGGGTTACTTGTACATGTCTCATCTTGTTGAGATGAAGAAAACGGACCATTATGACATAATAGCTACAGCATGAATTGTTTACATTTGAAGAGAACAAATGAATTCTTGAGAGATCATTTGAGAGGCCTCCTCTCAAATGATCCCTCAGCTGCTTTGCCCCACTTGTGAGGCAAGCTTTGCCCCACTTGTGAGAAATTCATGGATTTGTAGCACTGACATTTTGATGCATGGGCAAGAATTGCCCCAAGAGGAGCTTTGTTGGTTATGTTTACTTGGAAGCAGGAATTATTTTAGTTCAAGAAAACTCACTTCCAAGTGGGTTGCAAATGGCTGTAGCCCAACTCCAGAGTAGTCCCAAAGGTTCTTTTTCAAGAGGCAACTGGACTTTCTGGTTTTTCTTTGAAGCTCTTGAAGACGAGGCTGAAGAAGCTTCTTGGATGACAAGCAAAACATTTTCAAACAAAAACCAGAAAGTCCAGTTGCCTCTTGAAAAAAGCACCTTTGAGACAACCATGACCTGGATGACTGAGAATCTCCACAGACATTCAACTTCAGAGTACTAAATGAAAACTAGTATTCTTCTGAATGAAGTCTGTAGCTGAAGGGATTGGTGAACCTCAGGGGAACAGTGCTTTTATTTGATTAAGGATTCCACAAAAAGGCACCATGTATTACAAGCATGGGCCTTTGAGCCTTTGGGCCTTTGGGCCTTACAAATAAGTACAAATATGTTCTTACTTTCTGGTCAGCTGGTTCTAGCAGTACTTAAAAATAAAATAGGAGTCTGAAAAAAGTCTACTGATACCAATTACAGTTTGTGAATATTCTCTTTTCAATCTATGATTGAATAATTGCAAAATGAACATATTTTGGAACATTTTCCAGGAAGCCTCCATATGAGATCACACATGATTTCCCCTGAATTGCCTTAGAGATTGACCTTTGTTGACCTTTTAAAATAATAACATGACATTTTCAGAAAAGAGACAAGATCTTATCTTATTCTCCCAGCAGTATGCTTAGGCGTAATATGGCTAGGAAGAAATGTAGATAATTTTATTAAGCAGTCTTTCAAAATCTGTATTGAGCGACGTGTTTTTACATTATTGCACTAGACTTACAAAAGTACATAATATATTAATATTTAATCATGCTAGGAGATATGTCAATTTTCAAATCTTTCCTCCTCATGGTTATCTTCAACACACAATGGCAAGCTTGAGCAGGTTTCCAAAACTATATTCACAACTTTATTATTGCCCAAGGAGAACAGACCATCTTGAAAAGATTATACTGGAAAAAAATAGAGAGCAATTGGAATCCAAGTGACCATGAGAAGATGCTTGATAAAGGATACAGAAATGAAAAAGATGAATATTGTTAACATTATAAATAATATCTGTAGTACCACCACCAATATGTCTATGAATGAAACATGCTTATGTACAATAATGTAAACTTTACCAAAAGCCTATTTTTGTTTTACATTCAATAAAACAGGAATTGTAGACATTTTTTCTTCTTTAACTTTTTAAAATGGCAACCGTAATTTGGGAGGCTGGGGCTGGAATTACTGAACTCAGCTAAGCAAAGAAATTACAGTACAATTTGCTTTCACAGTGGTTACTTGCATCATAATTCACCCACTTTCTTCCCAAGCCCCCCTCCCCCCCCAAAAAAAAGGAATTGGAGGTAAAACTCTTATTATGGATTGGCTTATTGGCTTATTAAAAATCTCTGCCCACGATTTCACATTAAAGAGACAGGATAACTTTCCATTTTATTTCATTTTTTCCCCATCCGTGCCTCTTTCATGTCAGTGATGCTACAGTATTATGAATGTAAGTGATTAAATACCATATGGAAAATATTTTCTCTATACAGTATATCCAGAAAAATCAATCATTTTTAATGCCACTGAAATAAATGGATTGATATACTAGTAAGTAAATGTTGATCATAGGCTGCTTCTGCGGAAGAAAAAAAGGGAACATTAACTTTGCTGATTCTACCTCCTCCTATAATTTATTGTATCTCTTGAAAGGCTGTGCCAAATGCTGGGAGAGTTTACTGAAGAGAACAGAATGGATGATTGTGGCATAATTGTTGATTATGTTTATTTATTACATTTATTATTTTTAGCAGCAGTTTTCATTGAACATTAGTGCCTTCCACAAACGAAATGCATCCTTTCATTTGTGAAAGAGAGAAACTTTCTGAATTCAACCCACTAGGAATATAGAGTAGTCCTCATTTAGCAACTGCCTTGTTTAGATCTGTTCACTGTTACTACAATGATAAAAAGGTAACTTTGCAACCAATCCTCCCATTTATAACCTTTGCAGATCTGTAAAGCAAAGGAAAGCTGATCATAAGCACAGCTGCAGTTTCATTTAGTAACCACTTCACTTAGGAACCCAGTTGCCAGTCCCAATTATGGTCACTAAATGAGGACTTGTACTCACTTTAGGTGAGCGGTCGCCAACGGGTGGGCCGCGGCCCACTGGTGGGCCATGAAAAATTTTTGGTGGGCCACAGAAAAATCTCACCCCCAGAGCACCCCCTCCAAAGCAATTAATCCAGGCTGTGCAGAAACACAAGTGCTGCACTGCCCACATGGCCTGCAGGAACCCTCCCCGCCCACTCACTCCTTACCCAGTAAACTTGCCTGCTAAATTGCTCTTTTTCCTTTTTCTGACCATCATCTGTTCTGCTGTGCCGGGAGATTTAGATTAGCTAGGAAGCAGGAAATGGTTGGATTTCTTGCTTTCTAGCTAGTCTTTAGATCTTTGGCTCAGCACAGCCAAACCTCCCTTAGTACTGAAGGTTTGCTTGCAAGCAAATTCAGTTCAAACTCATGGCAAGCGAATTTGAGAGACTGAGCTAGCTGATGGCAGATAGATAGATCTCTGAATGAATCTGTGATTCTGTGAGCAACTCAATCTGCCTGCCTGCTTTGCCTGATTTTGGGTAAAAGTTGCTCTTTTTTAAATAAAAAAATTCAATATTTACATACATGGTGTGTTGTGAGTTAATTTTGTGAGTTTGCTTGCACGCAAATTTTATGTGACAGACTGAGCTAGCCAATGGTAGATAGATCTCTGAATGAATCTGTGATTCTGTGAGCAACTCAATCTGCCTGCTTTGCCTGATTTTGGGTTGCTCTTTTTTTATAAGTTGCTCTTTTTTTTATAAAAGAGCAACAAAAAGTTGCTCTTTTATAAAAAATCAATATTTATATAAATATTTATAATATTACATACAAGCCATGCCCAGCCAGTCACATGACCACCAAGCCACACCCACAAATTAGGCCATGCCCACAGAACCGGTTAGTGGTCCCTGGGATGTAAAATTATGAGTTTGGTGGTTCCTGAGGTCCAAAAGGTTGGCAACCCTTGCTTTAGGTTCTTTGCTGGAAAAACCAAATGTTTTTCCTTAAATCCAAGTGCTTTCAGGAAGTTTCATACTATGCCGCAAACACAGAATAATCAGAACTGAACCATTAATACAAATGACATCACCAAGATGAGGTGATGAAGAATAGCAAATTGCTTGGAAATCCTTTCCCATTTTGGCAAACTCGGTGAATTGGGAATGCAATTCATGGAATTCCCACTGAATGTTCTGGAATTGCAAGGATGCTAAAGTGGGAAAAGCATGTCTACTATGTCACCACTTAACAACAAAAAGAAAAATAGAAGTCAGTTGACTAGTGGAAATGCAGATGATAACCAAATCCATATTTACAAAGAGAAAACGAAAACATTACTGCCTTTGTGATCACTGCAAAATACAGGATAAATAACAGAGCCATGTATTCATTTGGTTCTACAATTTGTTGCTATAAAACACAAGCTGTTAGCAACATTGACTATTCATTTGTCCATATTTTTTCCACAAGAACTATTTTTTGGTCCAGAAGTCAATTTCTATTTGATTGCATTTGTTGATCTATTGGGTTTCCTTGACTGATTTCTCACAAATATGAAACAATTGCACATTTGAAAAAGTCCTGTAGCTTTAAATAAATATGTGTGGTTTTACCAATGAAACAGTCACACAAGCCCTCTGAGGGTTGTCAAATATTCTTTATGCAGTGCAAAGGGAGACAACACATTTATCCCTTCCTTATGTTATTTACACTTACCAAACCGCAATTATTATTTGTTTTTTTAAGCACAAAATCATGGAAAAATAGTTCCAACTCATTGAGTCAGTCTGAAGAAGAATTATGGGACAAAAGAAAGAACACTGAGCTGAGCCGGACTGGATCAGATGTTCTGTCATATTTCCAATATCAGAGTGCAGAGGCGGTGATGGAGTGACTACCTTCTCTGGCTGCTTGCATGCCCTTGAAAGCCAGGGAAGCTGGAATATCACAGTTGTGGGGTGAAAGAGGATTGCCCCCAGCATGCTGCCAGCCGTGACTACCTACGTAACCAGAAGGAGCAGCACTGTACGCCATATAAGGGGACACCTGGGCTGCTGCGGGATAAGGTGTCATTGTTGGTGCAGAGACAAAGCTTCCGACAGTTGGAAGGCAGCTTGGTGCCTAGAAAACAACAAGAAGAAAAGAGATGACCATTGTTGTTTGAAAAGAAAAGAAAAAAGAATGAAGCATCTAAAATGTCTTCATTAATGTAGGACCGATTTCAGATACAACATTTTCAGCTCTCCAAGGTAACAGTTAAGTCAATCTGTACTTTCTTACTAGCCAATCTTGGGTCCTGGCAACTGTCTGGACAAGTCCCTGCTCTTTTCTTGGCAAGATTTCAGAAGAACTTTGCCATTGCTTCTTCCCAGGACTAAGAGGGTGTGACTGGCCCCAGGTCACCCAACAAGATTCATGTCTAAAGTGGTATAACTCATACCCTTCCAGTTTCTAACCCAGTGCCTTAACCACTACACCAAAGTGGCTCTCTGGGTTCATTAAGGATCCCCAAATGTAACTGGGTCAAAAATTTTATAGCAGATTTTTTTTTGGGGGGGGGGAACCCTATTAGGAGGCAAACTTAATAGCTTATACATGGCAGATCTCAAGGAATCTATATTATTCCTTAAAACCTCTCAAAATCACCCCAGTTCTTCAAGTTTTCAGTGGTCCAATAAGGCCATTTTGCATTTTTTTAAAAAACATTTTTCTATGAGCTACGATGAGAAACCCATCAACTGCTAACCCCCTGATGTGAGAGATGTCTTCTTTTTAATCCTCTTTCACAAACTTGAAATAAATACTTTCTAATAAATTAACTTTTCATCATACATTTTTTCTTTCTTAAATTTCCTATACAATCAATGTATTACGTAGCCCTCTATCCAAGTAATTCTGGCATACCTGCATCATAACTTCCCACATGAATTGCAGAATGTTTCATCAAAACTAGCGCAATTATTCTGGCAGCAACAGCTGGGTAATGGTGGCTATTATCCCCTTACCTTATTGTGCCAGGTTAAGACCTTTCATATGTTACAGAGCTTCTCCTTTGCCAATTCAACAGATCCTTAGTATGGGAAACTGGTTGCATTCCAGTAAACAGTAGTGGGAAAGGCCAAAGGAAAAAACTAAATAACAATGCATCTCAGATTTTAAAATGTTTCCTTTCCAGATTCTTTTAACAGGGCATACCATACTCAAAGGCATCATTAGCATTGCTTGTGAAAACAATATAGGCCTGTGCTTTCAGATTTTTCTCAAAGAATGGCCATAAAATTGCCCTCTGCCTTGCTCCTACAGAGCTCAGTTTGACAAGCCACATTTCAATTAATGGGAGCTGAGCAAGAACACTGCCGAGCTCATTTCTTTGGAATTTGAGCTGGAGAACTTTCCAATTGCTTTTCTGCCTTCAGAACTGAGCACTGCTGGAAAAAATTTCCAATAGCATGAAATTTAATCCCTACAAATATTAAGATGTATATGCTGGGGAAAAAAATATCCAGAACAAGGACATTCAGGCACACACAACAACACCAAATTGGCATGGGGTGGGGGTGGGGATTATTCTCTGCAGCATGCATTCAAGTAAGGATGCAGGCCATTTTGTAATGGTCTGGACAATGGACCTGCTTTATTTAAATTAATTGCCATTCCTTGAGAATTCTACAAAAATATACCTAAGGCCGCTTCTTACACAAAGCTGGTGGAGATTGCTAAAACTTCAGCTCACACCACTTGTTATTCTATCCAGCAAGCCTAACAAGCATCAATAATAAGCCTACACTTTTTTGAATTCTCACTTCATGGGGTTTGAATACCCATTTGAAGACCCATTCAGTCACTGAGTTGGTACCAGAACTACAGTTCTGCCTGCAGCTGCTGCCTCAAGCAGACTTTCAGTCCATGGGCTGCTCCTGAAGTTTTCTCTTAAGACAACAAAGCCTTGTTCCATTGGGCCTTTTTTAAAAAAGATGCCTGAATGACAGAAGTGGTTTGCTATGCAGGGTATGTGGGTGCTTTTTTAAAACTTACATGCACTTTGCTCCATCTAAATAATACTAAATCCCTCTATAATCACAGGGGCTGACATCTTGTGCCTCAGGCAAAGCAGAAAATGTTGCCCCCTCCCACCTCATTCAAAATGCAAAAGCAACTGTTTGTATCTTACTTCAGCTCTTGAATGGGAGAACACACACACACACAAATTCAGAGCTGGAGGGTAGATCATAGGCAGAGAAGGAATGGCTGAAGGCTCTTCTGTGCAATCCACAGCTTCAGCCACCTGAGACTGTTGGACCATTCTGCCAGACAGGAGGACTGGATCTGGCAGTCACAACTGTGTTCCACTTTGGACATATTTTATGGACATCCCCCTCACAAGTATGACCTCTAAAATGTTGCTAGTGCAAGGTTTAACCTGGAGAGACCAATGATAAAAATGATCTACACACTGGCTTACATAGGGTATTAGAACCCAACATTTCATTCAAATGACACTTTGGAGAATGGGCAAGTGCCCTGGACATTTACATATTCATTTAAAGCAGATGCCATTTGATTCAATGGGACTCACTCCCAAATAAACCCACTTCCATTAGAACAAAATCACTAGTCAGGAAAACATGAGCTATGCTTATAATTTGGGCTACATGGCTTAATAGAGGAGTTGAATCCCATTTGTTAATGTGACAGTTTATACAAGAAGTACATTCACTTGCGAATGAAGTGAAGGGGATTAAATTCCAGAACCCTATATATATTGGGCCAATAATTCATCTAGAGAATTTCAGTTGAAGGAAATGAATACCAAAATTCAGAATCAGGAGTTGAGAGAACCCTGTGGTGTTTATGGGTTTTGAAGGTACTTAGAAGTCTTTTCTTAAGTGCTGGGCTTTCAGAAACATTTTTTTAAAGTTCTGTAAATATTCTACCATAATTGAAGCCATTGTTTATAAAAGGAAACTGAAGTATTGAAGATCTGTTAGTAGATGAATGGAATCTATAGTCCCCTTTTGCCCAATATCTAAGAAGCAAAATCCACAGGGGAGACATGTTGAATTGTTTCAGCTGCTCAGAATTAATGCTTTGTAGCAGTCCAAAGAAAGTGGAAATTCAGAGGAGAGAACAGTCTTCTCCTTTTTCATGGTTTGTCTGTTTAGCAAAATGCATTTTTATAATTTTGTTGTAGCTGACTCAACAGTTATAGTGCAAAGAGCTGTCCGTGGGAGTTACCCCTCAATTATGCCAATTTAATCAAAGTAGAGAGTGGGCTCAAACCTGTAAACAGAATTAACATGAGTTAGGATCCCCACCCATGCACATAAGCATTGTGTTAGAGAAACTGAAGCAATATCCATGTTTCTGCTGAAAACTGGGAATGGCAACCTTTCTGGCCATAGATTTAATGTATACATTTACGTGTGGGAGCCAAGTAGTTCAGCAACCAATCACAGAATGCATTCATATTACTAATGTCATTGTGAATGCAGCAGGTATATCTGTTTCACAATTCCAAAAGGGACTTACAGCATAAAATACTACATGAAACAACCAAGTGAGAAAAGATGGCAGGAAGAAGCAACAAAAAAATACATTCCCAAAAATGTGAGCTGTGCAGAGAGCCTTAAAGAATTAAATCAGACAGTTGCACAGAGGTTATCTAAGACAGTCCTCTTCTAGACATAAGAGTTGGAGGAAGTCCTAACATCAGAACTTGCTATGCTAGCCAAAAGTTAGGGCCTTCCCGTTCCCTTGGGGTTATTATCAAGAATTATCCACATCTGATTGACCACTGCCACTCTTCCCTGCCCAGACTTCAGATGTACTTAGGCAGCAGCAGAACATCTGGATGAAAGCAGTGAATTAAATCTATTTTTAAAGCAGCCACCATTTTACATTTTCTACAGTTGGATATCTGGTGTTAGGTATTACATTTTCAGAAATCTAAGATGACCACACAGTGATGTTTAGTATTCAATATAGAATAGAATAGAATAGAATAGAATAGAATAGAATAGAATAGAATAGAATAGAATAGAATA